AAGCACAGAATGTGACTCTGAGGCCAGAGGTGTCCATCCTAACTTGGGTTCTCACCAATCTCACTAACAAAACTGGACAAGCCAGGCAGAGTTTCATCATCACATAGAAATGGTACCTCTAAGATTGAGCCAGGCCAGGACCCCAAGGGGTCAGTCAACTATATGAACAGGTAGCCACCCTGATGGAGGGAACAGAGCCCTCCAGACTGGACTATGGCAATAGCTTGCCTCATGAGCTGGGAAAATCTTTGTCACTCATGTGGGTGCTCACGGTAAAGGGCCTTTCAAACAAGAACACAAATGGAATTCCCAAGGTGACAGAGCCTGTATAAAACAAGTTGCAGTGGTCACCCTCTGGCTGCATTTGCAAACCAGCCATGGAAGCCCACCAGGAATGCGGGAATGGGCCAAATCATGACACAGGACTTCCTCGGGCCATCTATGGATCTGCCCCCAAAGCAACCCCACTGATACAAGTTCAGGTGCCAGGCTGTTCCAGTGTCACCTGCTTTATTATCAACTATAATATAATTAGAAAAGACCTCCGCATGGTCAGACATTGCAGACTCATGCTGGCACTTTGGGTAGGGCCGAATATGTAATTTTCCTCTTCAAGCCACAAACTGGCAATTGGCAGAGACAACATATAATAGGACTAGTCAAGAATGTAACAGCTACACCCTGGCAAGGTCACCTGTGCTCTTCCATGACATGTGTTTCCTTGTGCATCTCAATGGGCAACAAAATGCCTTTCCCCTGGAGAAGAGACCAGGTCTTGCTGCCTTGGGGTCCTCGGTCCCACTACCCATGTGGATAACCACACAGAGGGTTGGAGGGACCCCACTCTGCTGGTCCATCACAGGGAGGACATCTGACACCCTTCCCAGGTGGCAAACTGACGGTTCCACTTGACTATTCAAGGCATAGGCATCTAGATCCCAGAAAAGATGATAGGAAACCTCTCTTTGACCATACCAGTAACACCTAATGCTATGGCCCAGGCCATTCAGGACCAACAGGACACCAAATTTACCAGCCAAGGTGGTGATGGATGGACAACCAGAGCACCCTAGATTATCTGTGGGCAGAACAGGGTGGGGTCTGTGTTACTGCCAACATCTCTTGCTGTGTGTACTTCAACTATTCAGGGAAGGTAATCTACACTTGGGCAGGATGGTTGTTGTCTGTTAACCTGCAGTCCCACTTAGACTCATTCTTTGACCTTTTTAGTGGCAAAACAGGAACCTGGGGCTCTTGGCTGAGAACCATACTACAGGGAGGACTAACCACCTTCCTTGGACTGGAGTGACCTGTGAGTGGCCCTGACAGAGTGCTCTCTCAGCGGGCAGAGTCTCGGTGAGCCATGAAGACACCTCCGTCTTTGTGGTGAATGTGGAAGCACTCCACATTTGGGGTGACTCTCTCCTCGCATCTTGATGAGGGCAAGGAGATGAACAGTTGGGGAGGCAGCCATTGCCCAACCTGTCATTCCTCCCACCCCCAGGGTTGCCCAATCAGTGCTCTAAACCTGGAACATTCCCTTATCTGGAGCTGCCTCGGGGCCCCAGATTTTTCTTCCTTGTTAGGAAGAATCTTTTCTTGCTCTGCAACTTCCTTGTACTGCTTAAGTATGTGCATCATATGGCACCTGGCCAGCCACTTGTGTATCTGTCTCTGATGGAGAGGAAACGAGGTCTTCCCTGCAGCAGAGCAGACTGCGTACAGTTCGTCACCCTGTGGCAGCTATTGGGAGGGGCCACTACCATGGGAGACTGGTGCACACTGCAGATGGTGATCTTGCTGTGTCTTTTCTCCTTTCTGAAAATAAAGCATTGGTCCAAGCAACACCGTATGTGTTGAGTCCTCCTTGGGGACTCAAAGCCCACGTGTGATGCAATGGGCCCAGGTCAGTGGGCTCCAACTTCTTGTGGCTGGCATTGTTATACTCTTTGCCATCCGCCATGGGTTGGGAATCCTCACCCAGGACTAGTAGCTGGATCTTCCTGCGCGACACATAACATAACATTGGGTACATAGAAACCTCATGAAGGGTAAGAAGGAGAATATGAGGAGAATAATAGATGGAGTCGGGTCATTTAGGGCCTTAAAGGTGAGAGTAAAGACTACAGATGCTACTCTAATGCAATGAGTGATGTTGGAGGGTGTCCATATAGTCACCTACCTGTGTTGACAGTCTCCAGGTGCACATTCTATGGCTCCTAGCACTAATGGGAGACGAGGCTGCCTCCCTAAATGGACAGTCAGTCCTTCTGTCCTTATCCCATCTCAGAAGACAGACATCACTGATACAGTACCAGATGCCCTTGCAGATTGTACTCCAACCTTTTGATGCTACCAAAAATAGTAAGAATACTTTCCTCAGAATCGCGGTAAGGAATAAATGAGATAATCCATGTTAAAAATGTTTAACACAGTGCATGCCACAGCTTATAATAAATGTTTATTATTTTGTTGCACAGTAAAATATAAAAATAGACAAGTCCATTTAACACATAAAATTTATTGTACAGAAAGACAGAGCCTTGACTTTATTTCCATTTCATATTTGAGTAACATATTTGAGTCTACACTTTGAGTAACACAGTTCTTGCCGTACTTGTTCTAGTTACCATGCATCCCTCATTGCCATCTGTTACAAGAGAGCAGGAAATTTATATGTTTAAGCCAAAGTAGATACAGTTTTCCTCGGCTGCCAATAAAAATATTACTAATGACCTGGGGCCCCCATGGCGGCTTTTCACATTGATTGAAAGCCCCAGAGGAAGTCAGTCTTCCCCAGGTCAAGTTGTTTGGGCCTCTCCATGCTGCTTGGGCTACATGACAGCAGCCTCCTCATTTATACCACTCCCCCCACACCTTTGAGGACATGCATTTCACATAGTCCATTGCAATGAGCACACAAAAATCTTTAAGATCATTCCAGAAATCTTCCTACCTCAAAACTTCCCTTTTAAAAGATCAGTGCAACACTGAGAAATTTTGAAATGTGTTGCAGTCATTTTTGTATGTGCCTAATAAAAGGGTTTGGGAAGTACAGGATCTAGTTTACTGAGGGCATGAAGGTTACATCCTTACTAGACTCAAGGCCACAAGATACTTATCAAAGATCCTGGCTGGAGTTGTTTAGAACTAACTACCGCTTGAATGTTCACTAGGTGCAGGGCACTTTACATGTACAATCTCCTTTAAGTCTTAACACAGCCTGGTACTATGGACATTGTCATGCCCCCATTAGGGATGTGTTAACGAAAATACTGAGCAGTGGTACCATTTGCTCATGACAAAGGTAAAGCTGGTACTCAAACTCATGGCTCTGAATCCAAAACCCTCTTTGTCCTGTTAAATGCTGTTTCCCAGAGCAACAGTCAGGGGACAGCATCCTTTATATGAGGAAGGAGGATGCCTACTTGATTTAGAAAATAAAAATGTACTTCATCATGAAATGTATACACTTGTGTCTATAAAGGACATTCATTGTTCACAAAAAAAAAAAAAGAAGAAGAAGAAGAAAGAGAAAGAAAGGGAAGAAGGAAGGAAGAGGAAGAAGAAGGAGGAGGACAGGAAGAAGAAAGGAAGGAAGGAAGGAGGAAGGAAGGAAGGAAGGAAGGAAGGAAGGAAGGAAGGAGAGGGAGGGAGGAGGGAGGGAGGGAGGGAGGGAGGAAGGGAGGAAGGGAGGAAGGAAGGAAGACTTTTCCCTTGAGGGTATCATTTACCAAGTTTCATGGTTAGTAATTAATTCCAAATGAAACAGGAGCCTAAGGTTAAAGGGTGAGTAAGAGAAAGAGGGAAAGAAATGTAGGGGAGAGACATTAAAAAGACACTAAAAAGATGGAAAGGCAGAGAGAAAAAAACTATTGAGAAAATAGAAGACTTTCTGTGCTCTGTTTCTCTTGAAATGCTAGACCTAACCTCCTTATCAGCATGACTCTTGAGACAGACCTCTAAAAACGTCTTTCAAGGCAAAGAAATGGGGCTCTATACCATTTGGGGGGGTCTCTATATTAACTTAAGTCTTGCAAATCCAGTAAGATTTCCAGACAGAATCCTAGGGGACCTTGCTGTCTCCAACCCCAGCAGGAAGATTTACGCTAACTGGATATGGCTTTCCGCAGGGCCCGCTCAATTGGCTCCATCTATCTAAATAGGATTCTAACATAGAAACCGGGAATAAAAAAAGGAGATGTGGTGAGTGTCACTGAATGCTTTAGCATGGACACAGATGGTATATCTTGATTGGCATTTAAAAATGCATCAGGATGAAGTAGATCTTGGTGTTAAAGAAAAGGCAGAGAAACAAAAAGGTATCATCCCCAGATTTCACAAAAACGGAGAAGATGCCAGAAGCGGTCAACAACAAAGACTTTGAACCTGGCTACAAAAGAGTCTGCTGTCTGCTGATGGGAAACACATGCCTTGTTGTACAGAGAAACCGCTTCTGATCCTCCGAGTGTATTCTAGGTACTAAAATAAGACGACAAAGGATGCTTTATGGCTCTTTCCAGATGGACCACAGAGGCTTGCACTGCCAGCTGAAAAGGGTTCAATGTGCATCTGAGTCCCAGACCAGGGGAGGAGAGGACAGAACTGTGAGGATCACTCACATTTTGGGATGATACATCCAGAGGAGCCCTCCGAGGAGTCCCAGAGAAAGACAGGATGAAGGTGAAGATGAAGCAAAGAGCCAACCAGCAGCCACCAGGTGATCAGTAGGTTCTGTGCCTAAAACCTGATCTGATGAGGAGGTCCAGGGAGCTGACAGGAGAGGGGAGGGAAAATCCCAGGGGAGCATTACCTCTACCCAAGCTTTGGCTCTAAATGTGGCTTCCAGCAGCCAGAAACCTCGGTGACTGCTCCTGGTCAGATGGGGTTAGAGAAAGGATACCCCAGAAAAATATAACACAAGCCACAAACATGTGCCATGTAGGTCATTTGAAATTTTCTAGTAGCTACGTTAACAAAAAATAGAAAGAAACATGAAATTAATTTTGATATCAGACTTTAGTTAATCCCAAATATTCAATAGGTAATCAATACAAAGTCATTAATGAGATATTTTACCTTTTTTTGTATTAAGTATTGTCAGCTGACATGTGCCTTACTCTTCCAGCACACACGGCTCAGGCTACCCCACTTCAAGTGATCAGCACCCACATGCAGCCAGTGGCTGCCATCATGGACAAAGCAGATTACAGTTGTATACAATTACCTTTTCCCAAATTTCATGAAAAAAAAAAAGAAACCTGAAGAAGTATATGATCAACAGGAGCTCTCTGAAAGGCCTGGGTCGCAGGCAGGATATCAAATCCAGATAAAAGAAAAATGGGAAAACTGGAAGCCTTTTTTTTTTTAACACCAGCACAAAAGGGAAGAAAGTTGGGGACAGCTGACCCCGTGTTTGTTGCTGAACAGTACAGCAGATGACAGGGTCTGTGAAATGGAAATCAGAGCCGATTCCCCATTAGCAATAAGTCAATACCGCTTTTGCATACACAGAAGGCGGGGAACTGCGCGTCCCCATCAAGGGACATGCTACGTTATGCAAGGTCAGGCTGGGCAGGGCTGAGGACTGCAACTCCCCCATGGAGATGGCCCCTCCCTGGCCCCGTCCATGCCGTCTAAGGAGATTTCTACCTGGAACGTTTCGAAACCTTTTAGTCATGTCTTCACATCACCTTGAAAGCATGTGCGTGATCTCTTCATCGTGGGGTGCTAACGCGACTCGGTTTCACGGCTCTCTGCCTCCGTCTCGTCAGCAGCGAGGCAGGCTCCCCGGGAGGAAGGGCAGACACGGGACGGATGGACCAGCCCGGCTGGGGATCACCTGGCACTCCAGCAATCGGAGTCGGGAGCCCAGCTAGATTCTGCTTGCCTCTCTTCCGCAGCTTTCGAGACCCCCACAGCTGCATCTGGAACCGAGAACATTCTTTTTCTCTTCAGATAACCCCAAAAGGTGTTCATTAGAAACTCTCACCCCTGAGAGAGGAAGAGAGCAAAACACGGACAGCTAAGCCTATGAAATGAAATCAGATGCCTGCCCACCTCTCCAGCCCCTCTCCTGCATGTCCTTACCTTCCTCGCCTCTTACTCTGTACTTCAGTGCAAACCGCAGCTGGTGGGCACTCGCTCTCTCTCCCTCGCACATGGGCACACACGCACACGCATACACGCACACATCCAAGGGGAGACAGACAGAATTGTGGTCATGTAGTCAATACACCAGGTTTGGAATGTGACAGACCCACATTCCATTGCTAACATTTGCTAGCTGCATGACCTTGAGCAAATTACTTGACCTCTGTGAGCGAATTTCCTTACCTACAACACGGGCCGATAACCATGCATACCTCGCAAAGACAGGTAAACATTAAAATAGTTAATATATTAAAACGAGTGCATTAGAAATTACAATGAGTAGAATTGGGCCTGCAGCATGCTAAAAACTGTACAAGTGATTACTATTAATTATTACACCATTATTCAGTATTCAATAAGCAAAAGCTATGGTTATTATTATTAAAATATTTACTCATTCCTTCAATGTTTACTGCAACTATTACTTTCATTTTGTCAGCTTTTCCTGATCAATCACTATACCAATCCCTACCTGCCACATGCAAAAAACACTCACACACTCGCGTAGATTTGATGTCCCTCCCTGGGCAGTAGCACTTCCTGCTCTTCCCATTCTTAACCCAGTCTATTTTGTATAGTAACTATCTGTTTATGTGTTTGTCACTTTCCCTATAGCAACGCTTTTTAAACATTAATGTGTAGATGAATCACCTGGGCATCCTGTTAAAATGCAGATTTAGATTCAGGAGATCTGGGGTAGGTCCTGAGATTCTGAGTTTCTAATGAATTTTTAGGCGATACTGATACTGCTGGTCCATGGACCACACGCTAAGCAGCACCGACCCAGGCACAAGCAATGACTGAACTGTTTGCACTCTGTGTCTCCAGCCCTCATCTCAGTCCCTGGCACATGGCAGATGTGTAACAAATTCTGGCTGAACTGATGGAATTGATGCTACCTATTCCTGGAGCTCAGGTGCCTCCTCTGTAGCTTGCCCCCACATCCAGAATATGAGACATGCTTTGCGGTCAAAGTGGATATTCTCAAGCATGATCACACCCACATTAAACTCCCCCAAAAAGCTGTGCTGAGTCAGGGAGTAACGCTGGGGTATGAAAATACTACACACAAGGGCAGTACCTCTCACGAGAGGGTAACAAAATGTGTGCACATAATTACAAGTGGTGCACAGCCAGTGAAAGAGGCTTTCAAAAAGTCCTTTGGTTCACCTTGGGAAATTCTCAGGAAACTGCTCAGTGCTTCACCAGGGAGTGGACAGCCCTTCATTGGCTTGAGAGAGAGTGAGTCGTTCACCCGACCACTTATCCACCTCCCGGCAGACGCAGGTGCATGTTTGACCTGTGCTGGCTGATACTCGGGAAGGCGTCAGGAAAGCAAACGCTTCGTGGATGTTACAAAATCATACTATTCTTTAGCCACCTATGAAGAGGAAGCATGGGGGAGGGGAGAGCACACCTGGATTTAAACCCTAGGTTTCATTTATATACTGATTGCGCTCTTACTGCATGCAAGCCATCATCCCAGGTTCTGAGAAAGTGCAAATTCTCTGCCCTCCCGGAACTGCCCTCTCAGGGAGGAAGGCAGGGGAAACACTTACAAGCAATATATATGCAATATACCATCAGTAATGCTAAGTGCTCAGATGGGAAAATAAAGCAGGACAAAACGACAGAGTGTCAGGGCAGCCAGGGAGATGTGGAAGGTGGCTGTGAGGAGGTAAAATTTGGGCAGAGACGTGAAGGAGGGAGGCATGTAGACATCCAAGGGAAGAATGGTCCAGGCAGGCGTGTTCCAGTTGTGGTCAAGAAACAGCAAGAGGCCTGGAGCAGAGTGAATGAGGCAGAGAGAAAAGGAAAGCAGGTCAGAAATGTAAGGTCAAACGGGGGCAGACAGTGGGGCCCAGAGCCATGAGAAGGGATTTGGGTATTTTTTTTCTGAGTAAGATACAAACCTCCTGGAGGGCTTGTGTGCAGGGGAGTGGTGTGATCTGACCCACATTTTTAAATGTGCTGCTGCACGAGGAACAGACAGTGGGGAGGCAAGGGTGGAAGCAGGGAGAGCAGATGGGCTATTTTGGCATAAATAGTCCAGGTATTAGAGGGTGGCAGGTGAGGTGGTGGGGGTGTAGATCCCAGCAGGACTCACTGATGGATCAGATGAAAGAACAGAGGGTGAACCCTTGGTTTTGGCGCTGTCACTTGATGTAGTCAGCAGAAAAATAGCCCCCAAAGATGCCAACATCCTACTCTCCTAAACCTGTGCATACTGTACATTAAATGGCAAAAGGACTTTGTGATGAAGTTAGGGATCTTGCGATGGGCAGACTGTCCTGGATCGTTTGGGTGGCCCAGTGTAATCACGGGGACCCTAATAAGGAAAGGATGGGGGGCAGGAGGGTCAGAGTCAGAGGAGATGCGGTGAGGAAAGCCGACGTCACAGTGATGCAGGCCACTAGTCAAGGAAGCCTCCAGAACCTGGAAAAGACACGGAAACATTCTCCCCCAGCAGGACGGCAGCCCTCCAGACCCACTTTAGATTTCTGGCCCCAGAACTTCAGAGCTCACACAGTAAATCTCTACTGCTCTAAACTGGGGGTAACAATAAGAAACTAAGGCACCTGGGCTCTGTGCTGCCATTTATTGAGACAGCACTAGAGAAAGAGCAGCAATCAGCTCTCCTTAGGTTGCACTGGATCAGAGGTGTCATTATCTGTCCCAGTGGAGGTACCAAGCGGGCAGATGACAACCAACTCTGGAGCTCACAGGGAGACTGGAACTTCACGTGACCTTCAGCAAATCCCTTAATTTCTCCAAGCTTCAGTGTCTTCCCCCAAAAGGGGGTTATATCTTCTGTATCTATCTCAAGAATCAAAGGAGACATTGTATGGCAAGTGTTCAAAGTGTGCCACTAATGTGTTATTCCTATAAATCAGCCTCTCACCCCGAAGGCAATGGGAGTCATTTCTCACAGAGATTTTTTTAAAGTCCTCTGTCTCCACAGAGCTGATCATATCCCACCAAGTGCCACAAAATGCAAGGAGCAGCACTTAGGGCAGTAAGTGGCCACAATTCTCCAGGAAACACCAGATCACTCCAGACACATGCAATTCATAGAGCTGTAGGGAAAATCCCACCCTCAGCACTCTCATGACTCTTTCCCCTCGCCCAGCCTTGCCAGACTTCAACTGTGATGAGCTTATATCCAACAGCCAGCGATGGGGATGCGTGTTTTATTTCCTCCTAAATGATCAGTGAGTCTGAAAGGGCCTTAGCGTCCAGTCAGAAGTCCGAGCTCCCACCAAATGTAGGATCCGTTCATCTGTTCACTGCACAACCCAGTGCTGAGCACTGGGTGAGGCCAGGCCCTGTGCTCGGCACTCAGGTAGGGTGGAATGCGCGGCAGGCCTGTGCCCACAGAGCCTCTTCTCCCCACAACCTCTCATCTGTCCTGTGAGGGGGACATGTGCTCTTCACGAGGCTCTGGAGTCCTATGGACCCGCCACTTAAGGGCCAATTCCCAGACCTACTTGCATCCCAGTTTCATCATCTATAAAATAGGGATTACAATCCCCAGAAAGCACTTAGCACAGTGCTCGGTACTCATTAAGGGCTCGATAACTGGCAGCCTTCATTGTTATAGTTATTACTGTTCAAGTTTCACCTACATTTTTTTAAATAAACAGCCTAAAATATCCCTCTCTGAAATGCCCAGTATGACAGAGTAAGTAAAATCCCTCCTCCTCTGACAACCTAAAAATATTTTAAGGCAGCTTTTACTATCCCTCTTCACATTTCTTCCAGGGCAAATAGACCATCCCTCACATAACTCACCTCCCAGAACTCCTTCCCTTTCTCACGCCTTGTCCTTATACGCACTGCTTGGCCACAGCTCTCTTAAATAAGGCCCTCAATGGAACACAATGGTCTGACCAATGTCAGGTATAATGGGACCATTATAGAGTACATATTTAGCATTAAAGGACTTAACAACCACTGTTTCAATTATTCACGAGCAATTCCAAAGATCCACAAACACGTTCCAGTGTGAAATTTCACTTAAGGACAAACTTGGAGCCCTGGGCTGATGCAGCCAGTGTTTGCAATAGTTATTTAGGTCCCAGCAATAGAACTTGGAGATTCCTTCCTTGTCCTTGGGTACAGTAATGCCCGTCCAGTGACTGCAAATTCAAGTTCTTTGTGGAAATTTGCCATCAAGCAAGGGAAATCACTGGGAATCCTTACAGAGATGTGATTTAGGAAAAACAAGGAGCCCTATAAACATTTCTATATTGACAACTTTGGACATTTGTGACTAACTGTACCTTCCGCAAATGTCATGTGTCCTCTGTATACATGTCAATGTAGCCAAAGCGGGTTCTAGTCTCATGCATATGAAATAAGCACTGAATTAGGAGGCAAGCCCCTGAGCTCCCAACCCGGCTCTGCCAGACACTGCCTGACCCTGTGAAATTGCCACTCTTTTGGGTTTCAGTCTCCCTGCCTACAAAATGAGGAGGTCAGATAAAGTCAGGGATCCTTAACTTGCTGTCCAGAGACAGGTAAATCAGAGGGGATGTTTACTTACTGAAGTTTTAGAGATATGTATATGACGTGCATTTTTAGGATAAAAGAGCAATAATAGCATTTAACAAATTCTAGGCATGTGGTAACTGTTTTACATAATAATATCCATAATAATTGCTAATATTTAAAAATTTACTATGTGTCCCATAAATATTATTTGACCAAATCATAATAATCCCATGAAGTAGGTACTGTTATTACCCCATTTTGCCAATAAGAAAGCTGAGATTCAGAAAGATCAGGTAACTTGCTTGAAGTCACCTAGCGTGTGAATATCAGACAAGGGGCCCCCACACAGGTGTGAATCCACAGAGCCTGCTCTAATCCACACACTATACTGCCGCCCAATTAGCTCAGGCACCAGATAACCAGACTAGTGGATTACCATGCCATAGTGTGGAATTGTCTTCAGTTTGCTCATCCCTAAGCTAAACTTTCTCAAAGCTCAATAGTGGTTGGCAGGGATTGTTCACTTAAATTAGCAGACCCAGAGGCCTGTCCAGCATGAATGACCGTGCCATTAACAAAGCAACAAAGACAGAATTAGGAAAAGGCAGTTCATCATGCTTATAAATAAACCATATTTTAGGTTTATGCTAATACTATTGCTATGTGCATCACCTTCAAAAAGAATTAAGACTGGAATAGACCATGAAGACTCAGATCAGAGAGAATGCTACAGGTAAACATTCATTTCTTATTAAGTTTTTACACTCAAATACATAAATTATCTTGTTCAAGTGTTTCTGCTTAGGCAACAAAGTTCCCTTTCAGCACATTTCCATTCTTGGGAAATGCAAGATGAACTTAACTACTCCTGTCCTTTGTGTCCTCAAACTAAACTAGAGGGTAACTGACTTTCCATGCATTGACAAGCTTTGAGGCCCATTTGTAATCAGAAGATTAGCCTAAAGCAGAAATTATTATATATGCTGCAAATATATGTACACACAGAGAAAATACTTTTTATTAGTAACAGAAACCATTATACTATGGAATCCGAGACTAGCATACATGCTGGAAAGGTCCAGAACCAGGCCCTGGAGAGGGTGGAGGACCAAGAAATACACTGTCCCTCCCGGATTTCAGCTCAGTGGATTTCCATCATTCTTCCACCTCAGCTCCTCCAGCCACTTGACAGAACAAAGCCTCCAACAGTTCTTCACCTTCCAGGTCCTCTGTTTTAGCCATCAGGCAAGAAACTAACCCTCTTTCTCAATTCCAATTCTAATACCCTAAAGAATCCAATTAGAAAAACCCCTGGATCAATTAATTTTGGGGCCTAAAGCAACATGGCAGCTTCCACGGTAACCACGGAGCTAGAGTAATAGAGAAGCTGTTCCCAGAAGGGATTGGGGGGCGCTAAAGGAGAGGTGGTCAAGCTGCAGACAAATAAAATGACATGTGTCCCCACATGTCTTCCCAAGTTAGACACTTGTATTTGTTTGTTTGAGACAGGGTCTCACTCTGTCACCAAGGGTGGAGTACAGTGGCACCATCATAGCTCACTGTAGCCTCGAACTCCTGGCTGCAAACGATCCTCCTGCCTCAACCTTCAGAGTAGCTGAGACTGCAGGTATATGCCACCACACTCTGCTAGTTTGTTGTTTTTTGGTTTTTTTTTTTAGAGATAAGGTCTCAGTATGTTACCTAGGCAGGTCTTGAACTCCTGGGCTCAAGCAATCCTCCCGCCTCAGCCTCCCAAAGCTCTGACATTACAGACATGAGCTACTGCACCCTGGCCTGGGCACTTCTCTTAGGTGGGCAGAATGCTCCTAGCTCACAGAGGCCAGAGTTCTCACCACAGCCCAGGAGCCCTCATGGCCGGCCCCTGGCCTCCATCCTCCCCTCCTCCGGGCAGCTCACCTTCCAGCTCTGAACTCCAGCCCCATCTTTGCAATGACAGATGCGCCTTCTCGCTTGAAGGCCTTCCCATAAGAACACCAGCACTCTCTAACCACCTCCCTCTCGGCCTATCTTCTAGGTAGACTCCCTTAGGACACACTTTCCAGACCATAGCACTGATCATGATCACAACTGCAATGAAAGGTCTACATAACCTTTTAGTTATTTTTTTTTTTCTTTTCCTATCACATAATAAGTTCAACGAGGGTAGAGCCTGTCTCTGGGTTTGTATCTAATTCCATAGTGCCTAGTACAAGTGCCCTGCAACAGTAAATGCTCAAAAAATATTTAATGCATATTTTCAAGTGAAAAAATGAGCAAGTGAAGTAGGCCAAATCCTAAACTTTCAAACATAATAATATCCATAAGGTAGGAGTGGCCTAGAATCGAATAAAGTATTTCTCACACCTCATTTTCCAACTCAAAACACTGACATAGACAGGAACCAGTTGGCAGGTGATGGCTGGCAAGGACAACCCCAAAGGCATAAGGGACGCTTTGTTACACCAAGGCAACCCTGAAAACAAAGTCAAACTGTGGTCCACCAAGACACAGAATTCCTGCACTGGAAGAAGCCAAGTACATGTTCCCATTCCCAATGCCTTTCTAAAATCAGGCCATTTAGCCACTCATCTGAAAACCAGAAATCCCACAACACCAAGGTTCTTTTTAACCTAAAATCAAAAGATACATTACCGAATGATCATTGCTTAAGACCCACAGCTTCTGTTAAACATAAATGACTCCTTCTGTGGTTTTAATACTAAGTGTGGCTTTGGAATATGATTGGTATGTAGTAAATTTAAATTCCTTCCCTTCTAACTGACATTGAAAAAAAATTACAACTACCCCAAATCAGTCATGAATCATACCAGGTGTTGAGGGGAATGTGCAGGGAGAAGGGGCTACTCGGTTCACTTAGAGATATACTGAAATATATTGACATGTAGAAAATATACCAAAACCAAGTCTAAGCTCCAAGGGCCAAATTTCCTCCATGAAGTCCCTGGAAATGTATCCTGAAATGTAATATCTAACAAGTGATCCTATAGTGGCAATGTCATTTATTTTTTTTTCCTTGAAAAAACAAAGCCCAAATCTAAAGGGTAGAGAACAAAATATAAACTGCGCCATTATTTTAAGTGAAAGCAAGACAGAGCTGCCGTGTCAATCACTGCCTACCGTGAGTACGGACTCCACTCATTCGCAGCACACTTTGGGCTCTCCTTAGGTTCTCCTCTACTAATCATGCTCTTAGATGCAGGACTGGAAACCTACCCTTTATATACATTCCTCAATCTCTTTCTTTTCTAGTTCTTTCCATGTAGGTCTTTTCTTCAGCTGCACAAATATAATTTCCTAAAAGTAATATAGAATACTTAATTATGCATGGTTCATTTTAGTAAGATTTATATGTTGTAATCAGGAAAGATAATACGTTCATTGTAGAAGCTGTAAAAGCAGAGAAAATCAGAAAGAAGAAAATAAACACCTCTCAGTCTATCATTCAGAGGTTTCGTTTACACCACCCTGGGCCTGGAGGCAGGAGAGATGCTCCATGTTCTAGGAAAGAAATTCATAACCAACCACACAAATAATTAATTTCAATTTTCATAAATGCTACAACGTACAAGTACAGGACAGGATGCTAAGAAAACTAGGAGGGAACCCCTTACTTTAGTTAATTAATATTTTGGTACTCTCGTTTCCTATATTTTTTCAGAGAACTGTTAAATATACATACATATTTTTTACCCACCTGGGATTAGATAGTACTGTTTTAGAGTAGAAATTTCATGTGTCATTTCCAAAACTAATTTCCACAAACAAAGGAGTTGCTTGTCTCAGAATTCTCCTCAGAAAAGAATTTTCATCAGACAAGACAGCCATCTCTGAGTTACAATTGGCCACAGATGAAACCAAGGAATTGTGTTTTCCAGATCTCTCTGAGGCAGTCAAATACCCTCCAGCCAAAAGGGAGCCATTGTTGAGAGCTGGATGAGGTCATCACATCATCTCAGGGGTACAATCAACAGTATGTAAGAACCCATTCCAGACTCTTCTTTCTTCCAGGGTCTCACAGATTTATTAAAATGGCTCATTCACCATTACTTCATCACATTGTTCTGGGTTTGTGGATAAGACCCCATAACAATGTCACTTGGGAACCTCCCACCTGACCTTCCCTGCTCTGGGAAGACCCAGATAAGATTAGCGAGGAACCCCCAAACCCCATGTTTAATGGAAATGCAAATCTCTCACGAAGACATCTGCAATTTTCTAGGTGGGACTATATTCTCTGGTCACCTCTGCCTGCAAGATTTTATTCCCATACCAGCTATCTCTCTTCCACCCTCACATTAATCTAGATACAAAACGTCAATGCTTTCCTCAGTTTCCACAAAATAATCCACTCTAAAACCATTTTGAATAAAATTGGAGTTACTAAAGATTAGTAGGTTGCAGAAAACAGGTTGCACGACACACAGCAAACTAAATTAGTATCTCATATTAGGCATTACAGTTCTTAATTATCACTAGGGTTTTCTTACTGGCCCTTTAGAATACATAGCACCGAGTCTTCTGCCATTTTATCAAATACTCTCTTTCCTCCTTCTCTTGTCTCTATTTCTCTATTTTCTTTTCCACCCCTGCCCAGTGATGAAGAAAACACACATTTCTTTTACTTTTTCATGTACAAAAGATTAACCGTCTCTTTGTGTGGTCTGGGTTCCCATTCACTAATGCTTTTAGTGTTTTACACCAAGTGTCTTATCAGGGTATTTTCGCACACAAAGGGACTTCCCTCCCTAAGGGAAAGTACAGTACTATTTGTTAAAATTATAACATTTTTTCCTTTATATGTTGGAGTTGTAGGGACTAAAGGCCACGATAGGCAGCCTTGTTACTCCAATACCATCCACTGGCGAGCACCTGCAATCTGTCTACACAGATTCCTGCCCCTTTAGCACTAAACTTCGTCCTTGGACTCTCGGATCTAGAAGGGCCCTTAGAGATCACCTAACACAACTTTCTCATTTTACAACGATGCAGTGAGCTGACACTCCCAAAGCCACGGTGCAAGTTAGTGGCAAGCCAGAATTTTGCAGGTCCCCGTTTCTCCCCGGACAGTGCTGTTTATGAGGCTTAATCATACACACTCTGTGCTCATAGAGTCACAGTATTAATCCACATAACCCAAAAACAGGGCAAAGCACAAAAGGTACAAGTTTATCTTTGAAATGTATTTAAGTACTGGCGTCTACTTCCTTTATAAAAGAGGTAAAGTCTTCTAATTCACAGTAAGTGATATATTCAAATGTCTCTGGGAGTATCAATATCCAGGTTACACAGTATCCTTATATTCACAGTAAGGTGAATATAAGTTTATAAGCTATAAGTGATCAAGATCTGTTTCTTTCCTAAGAGCAGGATTCCAGGAGAGGAAGGGACGTGGAGAATATGAGAGTGCTGAAGGAATGAAGAAGAATTAGAATGAGCCCTTTGGGCAGAAGAAAGGGAAAAGAAAGAGGAACTGGGCATGTCCAGTCCTGCTGGTTTCTGCTCAGATACCCGATAAACAAGTAAATAAACCAATTACACTTAATGATGGTTCTCAGCAAACTGCCTGATCTTCTCACAGTCTGTCTTACATGTTTCATAATGAATATGCACTCTATTACATTTTCAAATACTGGCCATTTTTTTTCCAGTGGAAATTTACCTTAATAATTTGTTAGTAGAGGAAACAATAGAAGTAAGAGCAATGTGATCCCTTTCTAGGCCTGTGCTTGAAAGAACACGCTCCCAGCTTACTTCTCAGCTAGCCATTGCTTAAGCTTCTTCAGCAATTCTTACTTGATGAGAGAAATTTCCCATCTCGGTTTTCAGGGAAGAATGACTTCACTCAAAGTGTGCCTGAAAGCCCAGGCTCTGTGTGGTGCCCTGGCAGGCAGGCAGGCAGGGCAGGAGCAAGCGATGCAGATGCAGCCTCAGCCTTCCCTTGTCCCCGAGAACAGATCTGCCAGGCCTGAAAGAAGCTAGGTCCTCCACGCTACATCTAGACAATGAGTGTGAAGCACAGCACGCTGCCCAGTGGACAGGAACCACCAAAGACTTTGGAAAGGTGAAGACACACCTTGGCTGCTTTTCCTTTCCGTGGAATATTCCAGAATAACTTATATAGGCAAGCTCTGGACAATGAGCCTCTTCAACCAGTTATGCCACATTTCTTAACAACAAATGACAAACCTCCAGCCCTTGGGTTTCATGCCCTTCCTACCTCAGCTCAGTTTACAGGAGGCTTTGGTTTTCTACTTGGAAACACAATGCCACTCTAGCTGAGGAATTCTCCTGTTACTCTTAATGGGGAGGGAGCAGTGAGAGTGTAACCAGGAGGAAAGTCAGCAAAAAATTTTCTCCATTGTTTTGTGATCTGCCAACTTCTGTTTATGTTGATGGAAGTCACACATATCAAGTCAGCAACATAAACCGTAACAGCAAGTAAGGCCTACGTGCCACTGTTCTCTCCCTGGTTACCTAAGATTCTTCCCAGAGGCACAAAGGCTGCACCAGATTTGTCAGAGAAACTTTAAATCATTTAATTAAATAATATGAAAACAGAGTCATAGTGTGGCAGTTTTCTGATCAGCTGTCATACTGCTGTGAACTAAAGAACCCCAAAGGAAAATGCTCCTTAACTTTAGATATGAAAAATTTCATTTTCTTTAGATACACACACACACACACACACACACACACACACACGCACACACACACTCCTACAGATGTGAGAGCTCATTGTATTGGTATTACCTTTATCAAAATGACCAAAACGTTTGCAAATACCTAACCCACTACTGAGATTTTCTTTTTCCTCCCCCCCCCACCTAGAATATTTGTTTCAATCAAGGGATTTAAATTTCTCATAAAATATTTTAGAGACCTTTCACACCAAGGCTCAAAAAGCAGTTCATCTGAAGATGGCACCTTTGCTATGGACATCTTTTTGATCACAAGTAATTCTACCCAGTTACTTTCTTTTTTAACTATCTCAGAAAGCTTCAGTGATGAGCAAACAGAATGTGGCTGAACTCCATCCGAGTCAGGGTTGAGTTTCTGTATTTATAATGGAAAAGGCCTTGATTTGGAGACTATGTGATTAAACAAGAAAGGTAGGGGTTCCAGCTGGGGGTCTTCATGTGGCCTTCAAAGGGTCTTTGAATCTCCTCAAGTTGCATGCAAAACTATCTTATATATTCTGTGGATTTTTATGAATAAAGACTGCATAGCTTTCAATAAAAGAGTTGGTGATTCAATGAGATTTAGAGATCTTGAGGAGCGTAGGCTGGTAACTGCTTAGTGAATAAATTAATACATGAACTCAGGGAGAGCAGCTTCAGCCCACTCCCTGCCCCAACCTTCCATGATCGCATTTTTCTTTGGAAGGGATTTAAGGAAGATGGTGGGAGGACTGGAGACGCTGGACCATTATCCCACATCTGAGAGTCAGGCTGAGACTATGTCACTGTCCTGTTTCCTATCTCCTTTACCAAACATTACTCTATATAATTCTCAACTCAAACAGCCCCAATACATAACCTAAATAATAGCCATTTTCCCCACTTTTGAAAATTGATTCAGTACTGGGGATCTACAGCCCAGATGCCAGGAGATACAAATGACTGCAGACAAAATGCCAAAGGAAAAGGCTCTGAGGCTGATGGAAGGGCATACAGAAGCAGAAATGGACAAAAAAAAAAAAAAAAAAAAAAAAAAGCACACTGGGGTACAGAGGGGAGGAGCAGGAAGAAAAAAGAACCTAGACCTGCCATAGAAGCTTCCGTTCTTCTGCATCACACTGTGTCTCCCTATGACCCTATGCACACGGCTGCCCACACTGGTCCTCCATAGGGCTTTATTCAAACGTGAGGTGGGCTGCGGGGTGGCAAGAGGAAAGAGGGGCTCGGGCACAAAAAGGTGCATACTGATTAATAAGGAGGGAACTGGGAGCAGGAGTAAGAAGAAAGAAGCTCCTGTATACCACAAATAATAAGAAAACAAGGATTATACCACAGACAAGAACATTTTTTGAGACAAGAAGACAATTATGGTATCAAAAGAGAGCAGAATGGTGGTTAAGAACACCAGAACACAACCTCTACAGTCAGACTCATCTGCGTTTGAGTCCTGGCTGTACATTCCTAAAGTTGTGCGCTCGGGCAAGTTACTTAATTAATCCCTGAGAGCCCACCAATTTCTCCTCAGTGAAACAAGGATAAAAATAAGCCAGATGTCATGGGATTATTGATTATTGGGAGAAAAAAAAAATGAGAATGTATTTAAAGAATAATGTCTTTGATTAATACTTAATTAGCAATATCTGTTATTGTTCTCCTTAGCCATTCTACTCAGTGGATTAGTCAGGAACAAGGGGCCAAGTTTGCTCCAGACTTGAAGAAATGTATGTGCTACATACAGCTGCACATGAGCAATGACAATTCCCTCCATGACCAATCAAACCCTACCCAGTTGGTGAAGACCCTGAATGAAGCCTGTGTTTCTTCCCATACACTCGTGACTGGGAGCATGTGATGATTCCTCTTCTGACTCACAGGAACGGAAAAACAGAAGTTAATTTCTCAGGAAGATAGCAAGGAATTGTCTCCAGGCTCTTTAGAATGTACACATCTTGGGCAAAGAGAGATACCTATCTGTATTCCTATTTCAGAATGAACACTGCCAGGCACACATTTCCCATGACGATGGCAGTAAGCCTGGGGGAGGAAAGACACTTAGGAAGTGACACTATTCCATACATACTTCAGCAAAAGGGTTTCAGTCATTGCTCTCGGTCCCAGGCTTTTAGTTGTTGTGGTAGTTGTTGTTGTTAAATCCACCCTCTTCCATTCAAAAATTAACATTCTTGGCCGGGCGTGGTGGTTCATGCCCGTAATGGTAACATTCTGGGAGGCCGAGGCGGGAGGATCGCTTAAGGTCAGGAGTTTGTGATCAGCCTGAGCAAGCGCTAAGTGTCCTAAGTGTCTTTCCTCCCCTGGGCAGGCTTACTGCCATTGTCATGGGACATGTGTGCCTGGCAGTGTTCATTCTGAAATAGGAATACAGATAGATATCTCTCTTTGCCCTAGATGTGTACATTCTAAAGACCCAATCTCTATTAAAAATAGAAAAAATTAGTGGAGCATAGTGGTGCAAGCCTGTAGTCTCAGCTGCCTGGGAGGCTGAGGCAAGAGGATCACTTGAATCCAGGAGTCTGAGGTTGCTGTGAGGAGCTAGGCTGACGCCACAGCACTCTAGTCTGGGCAACAGAGCAAAATTCTGTCTAAAAAAAAAAAAAAATTAACATGCATCATATTTGAATTATGGATTTTTCTGTTTGCTTAATTCAAAAAGTATTTTGTTGCTGTTGCTCTGTATTAACCCCACCAAGTGACAGGACTGTGTCAGCTTTTGAGAGAGATGGCTGCACCATCCAGTTCCTACACAAAGCACTGGAGGCCAAAGAAAGGATCAAAAAGAAAACACAACTATCCCCAGCACAAGGTATAGTGCTGAAGTCGAAGCACAGACTCAGACTTCCACAAAGAGCTCAACGTCCAAGAAGCACAGAGGAGGAAGGGAAATGGCGAAGAGTTTTCAAGATTATCAAACTCTTTGGACTTATCAAAACTCTGCTTTGTCAGCCCCTCTTGCATCAACCAACATCGTTCAGCTCATTTTGCAAAGGATGAGGGCTAGAGAGAAAACAAAGAAAGATTGCTCTGGAAGAGAATGATCTGTTGATAATAACAATCAAAACAATAACAACATTTTTAATCTTACAAATAACCGACTAGTTAAAAGAAAAAAATTCCCATTTGCTTTGATTATCATCAATAACAACTGCTCATTATGTTCAAGGCAATGTGCTTGGTGTTTTTAATATAGAAATCCTAAAAGACAAGTAATATTACTGTTATCATTTGACAGAGGAGAAAACTGAGGCTCAGAGAGGTTATGACACTAGCCTAAGGCCACAGAGCTAGTAAATAGCAGAACAAATACCTGCACACAGATCTGTCTGACTCCAAAACTCATACTCATTCCAAGTTACCTGACAACTCTAGTTTCTCTAGCATGTGAAGAACTGTCTCTCATAAAAGAAAGCTAACCTTTCCAGTTTAAAAAAAAAAAAGGAAAAGAAAATTGTTTGAAGGGGCATTTGTACAATAATTTTAAAAAATGTAATGGCCAGGCAATAATAGCACTAGCAATCCAGGATGCGTTTTATAGGGCTATTAATATATGCCTCAAGTGGTCAAAGGCTTTGCCACTCACTTGAGGCAAATTGTAAATGGCCAATAAAACTTGCCTTGTCATGTCTTAATGCCACATTGTATCATCACACTCGTAATGAAATGCTCTTCAGTTTCAGTGTTATCAGAAAAGAAGAAAAAGTGGTGGTTAAACAAGCAAGCATAGTGAGGAAGAAGTGTAGAAAAGTAGAAAGCCCCCTGAGCTTCGGCCTTGGCTTAACTCTACTATGCACCTGTGTGATCTACAGCACATCTCAAATCCTAGGATCTCAGCATCTCCATCTGTAAGCTGAGGCTCCTTATGACAAGTTAAGACCTCTTCCAGCCCCAACAGTCCATGGCTCTTTAGAGAATTCACATCGGATCAACAGCTGCTCGCGGAGCACAGTGAGGCAATAGGCACACCCTGAGCTAGCAGCTGAGCACAGCAGTAACCAAGGCAGAGGTCCTTGTCTCTGAGGCTGCACTTCAGAGGTGAGCAGACAGCTGCAAGTCAAGATACTGCTTTGCTTTACAACTTTCTCTTCTTATAGACTGCAAAAATTTCCACACACATAACAAAATCTAGATAATGGTTACATTTGGGTGTGGGGGGGGATATTTGCACTGTTCTCTCTACTTACGTGATACTTGAAATTTTTGATCACAAACACTGAAGAGAGAGAGATGAGAAAAGCTCCAGGGAGACTTCTGCCTCTGATAATGACCCACTAGGTAAGTCAGATAAAACTTCCCACGGAAGACAAGTAGGAAAGAGAGACAAAATATTTGTTAAATGCTTTAAAATATCTGAAATCTAAAAGGACTGTGGGGAAAAATAAGCATCAAGCCAGGATCAGGGTGAGGAAGAAGTCCAGAGAGAAGAATATGACACCTTGGACCTATTTCCCCTCTATGGATGTATTGTGAAGTTAAGGAAACAGGGAATTGTAACCAAGGCTTCCTGAGGATTGGGCAACACACCTGGGCATACCATTTGCTTTGGATTGGAATCCCCAAGAGCTATACCCTAGCAAGGAGAACAGATAGCTAAAAGGCTCTTGCAGAGGACCATGGAATTTCTTCAAACCATCTCAACTTCTGAAGCTAAAATAAGATGTTTCCAGAATGCTAATCCCCCAAGTGCTAGCAGAAGCAAATGTGAATCCCTTCTAGAGTTGAAGAACCTCAATCTTGACCTCAAATTATATCTGTAAAATATTGTGCAAATACAATATCTTACAACAATTAAAAATAACCAAGCACAGGAGAAGATAAGAAGACATAAACAAAAACCAGCAGAAATAACAAAAACAGAAACCCAACCAGAGGTCTCTAGATACTGGAATTATTTGAAACAGACTTTTTGTTGAAAGTCTTACTATTCATAGAAAGACAAAATTACAAGGTTGAGAATTTCAACATAGAATGGGGTAGTGGGCTAAAGGATGGTCCCCAAAAAGATATGTCCACTTTCTAATCTTTGGGACCTATGAATATTACCTTATGTGGCAAAGGAGTAAATAATACCTTATATGGGAAAAGATATGAATAAATTGAGGGTGCTGAAAGGAGGAGCTTACCTTGGATTATCAAGATGAGCCCTGAATGCAATCACATGTATCCCTATAATAGAGTGGCAGAGACAGTTTTTAGACAGGCACACATAGGAGAAGGCAATGTGAAGATGGAGCAGAGAGAGATGTGGCCACAAGCAAAGGAAGGCCAATAGCCACCAAAAGCTGGAAAATGCAAGCGATAGATTCTTCCCTGGAGCCTCTGGAGGGAACATAGCAGCTGACATCTTGACTGACAGCCTTCAGGACAGGAAGAGAATAAATTTTTGTTGTTTAGGCCACCCAGGTTTTAGTAATTTGTTACAGCAGTCCTGTGAAAGTAATAAAAATGAGAAACTCAAAAACAGAGGGAGTCGAATGGCAATTTTACACCTAAAAACAACTAAAATGATTAACTTAATAAATGAAGAACAGACACCATTGAGGCAGGGATTTGAAGCCAGAAGAAAATTACTAATATAGAATAAAGCAGAGAAAGACAAAAGGATAGCAAATACAGGATAAGACACATTACAGGATACAGTCAGAAGGTATAACACATGAGAATTAAATAATTATAGCTCAAGGAAAAGAGGATAGTGAATGGGGCAAAGCAGTATTTGACAAGGTAATAGCTGAGCACTTTCCAAAACTGAAGAAAGATATCAGGCCTTAGCAGAAGCCAAGACAAGGAGGCCTAGAAACCCCAGGCAGGATGTGTGAAAAGAAAACTTCACCTAGACTCGTTAAAATAAAACTGCTAAAACCACAACTAGAAAAGCTTAAAATAAGCCTACTGGGGAAAAAGAAACAAAAATTAGACTTTTAACTAATTTATCAACATAAACAAGGGAAGCCAGAAGTGAAATATCTTTAAAGTATTGAAAGAACATAATTGACAGCCTAGAGTTCTATGCCTAGAGAAAATATCCTTAAGAATGATGAGAAAATAAAACATTTCAGACAAACAAAACTGAAAGAATTTGTTACCAGCACACCTACAATAAAGGAAATACTAAAGGGTGTTCTTCAGGCAAAAAGAAAGCGCTCCCAGATTGAAGATAAATAACATCAGAAGAAATGAAGAGCAAAGAAATGAATAAATATATGAGTTGTCAAAATAAATTATGATTGAGTAAAGCAATAATAATAATAATAACGTCTTGGGCATTTCAAAAGTATAGAAGTAATATACACAACAATGCCACAGAAGTTGAGAGACAGAAATGTCATTAAAGTATTCTAACATCTAAGTCAGGAATGCATACTATAATATCTAGTGTAAGCACCAAAATAATAATAAAAGAATATAAAACTTCCAAGCTAATAGAGATAAAAAGTGGAATTGTTAAAAAAAATTTTTTTCAATTCAAGAGAAGAGAGGAAAAGAGGAGAAACTGAACATGGGATAAGGAAGACTAAAACAAAGGTAGCAAATTAATAAGACAGTAAACTTCAACCTACCTATGTGGGTAGGTTTTTTTAATTACATTAAAAGTAAACAAACTAAATGTTGTAATTAAAAGAAAAAGTTTGTTAAGCCCAACTATATGCTGTATATAAGAGATACATCTAAAAAATTATGCTATAGAAATGTGGTAACTAAAAGGAACACACACACACATATACAGGCAAATACTAACCAAAAGAAAGCTGGCATGGGTTTTCTAATATCAGATAAGGTAGACTTTAAGGCAAAAGGTCTTGCGAGGTATATGGAGGGTCACTTTGTAATGGCGAAAAAGACAAGCCTACAATCATAGTATGGAACATTAACACACCTCTCTCAAAAAGCTATAAAACAAAAAAAGACAAAAGAAATTAGTAAGGATATAGAAAATTTGAATTATATAAACAGCAAAGTTCACCAAGTAAATATATGGAAAATTACACCCCACAACTAGAGATACACAATATTTTCAAGCACATAGCAAACATGTACAAAACTATTCCTTATGCTATGAAATCAAACACATCTTCACACATTTCAAAGTACTGAAATTGTTCAGAATATGTTCTCTCTCTGCAATGCAATGAGGCTAAAACCCAATAATGAAAAGATGACTAGAAAATTCCTGGTAGAAAAATTAGAAAATACTCTTAATTGAATGATAATAAAATGATTTCATGTAAAACTTGCTGTATGCAGCAAAAACAGTATGTAAAGGAAAATTTATTATTTAAATATATATACTACAATAGGCCCAAAACTGCAAATCCACAAACTAAGCATCCAAAAAAGAAATCATTTTTAAGAATCAACAAATTTCACCCAAAGAAATTAGGAGAAAGAAATGGATGAAGAGCAGAAATGGGAGAAGTCAAAACAAGCATACAATATAAAAGATCAAAACACAGGGTGTTGAAAGTGTTGAAAGAAGTGTTGAA